CCATGATGTAAAAACATAAGGTGTGTTCTTGCGCATCCATTTGAACATCCATCTGTACACGGACACTTCCACTCGTTGGCCATTTTGGATTTCTAACCAATCACACTTCATATTAAAACAGAGCGAATTTAAAAATCGTAAACATGTCAAAAATTAGGTTCTCGGAGAGTAATATATATGCGTGTTTGAAATAAACAATAGATCATCGTACTTCCAATATGGCCGATGAGTGGAAGGCGCAAACAGCGACACATTTGAACACGCCGGAAGAACACACCTTATGTTTTTACATCATGGGAGAGATTACTGAAGAGTGGCAACGCCTGTTTAACACGCGGCCCCAAAAAAGGGCACGGGAGGGCTCGAACCGGTAAGGTAGATTCATGAAATCCCACAGAATGACTGCTTCGGCGTGTATCGACGTTCATAGTCACCGATGTTTCTTGAGAATAATCTCTCCTACTCTCATTACTCTTCTCGGTGGTCTGAACCAGTCTGAACGTCGGTACACGCTGAAGCAGTCATTCTGTAGGATTTCATAAATCTACCTTGCCGGTTTGAACCCCATTGGGCCCTATTCTCAGGTCGCGCGTTTACACAAGGGCTGCCACTCTTTAGTAATCTCTCCTCGGTGCTTATAATTTGATTGTTTCTTAATTTGTTGCATACACCTAACCTGACGATTGAAAATAGTAGATTCTTCAACTTGCTTTCAAAGCTATATTTCATATTCCCGCGGTTGACTACGTCGGTAACATAGATAATGATACCTAAATATTAAAAAAAAAATTTTTCTGGTCGCCAAAAATCCTTCTCGCAATCATGATTTTTATAAAAAAAGAACTTATTTTCAAAATTTCAGCCAATTCGAAAAACGGGACATTTCGGAAATACAGCCGCAGATATTGGAGCCATGCGAGTTCGCACTCATGAACGCTAGATGGCGCCACGTGGAACTCAAATGTGGGTTTTTGTAACCGCGCTGAAGCTCTGATTTAAGGATCCCTATTCAAATCCAATCAACTATTATCAGTTCCATCGATACGTTAAAACGTTTAGTTTTCTTTTGAACCATTAATATTTCAATGTAGTAAAATAGGTAATCAGAAATGCAGGAGAACCTATTTCACATTACTCTTAGAGACCAAACAATAAGTATCTCCTCGGTGGTTATACTTATCGTGTTGTACTTTTATGTTGTACTTTCTATCAAAGTTATAAAAACATTCATTTGTCCTTAATCGTGTCGATCGTGTTTCCAAGACGATGAGCTAACTTTGGGAAAAGATAGGTTTAGATTATTCCAACAGTGGATATATCTTCGAAACTGTGCAGGCGAAATGGGATATAAAATCCTGTTTCCTAACTACTTCCTAATCTTCGAAATTCATGTCTACGCAAAGTTCGTGTCTTTTAATTTTAAATCCGTGTGTATTCTTCAATGTTCCCGCTATTTCGCTCGCCTTTTTCTTCTTCTCGTGTTCTTGTAACATTACCGTCGCTCCTGTGCGACCGAAAGTATCTTGGTACATCGACAAATCTCCGTGTAGAAATTTGTGCCTCATGTAGCCAAGCACTAAATTATTCAAGAATACATAGACGGATCTTAATGAGATTTCAAAGATGAACGTGTAGAATCGATCTAGATTTTTATAATGACAAAGTAATAAATTTTATTCTGCCTACTTCGTTTTGCAGTTATCGGAGGTGCGAGCACCTTTTCATTGTGAGGATTAAAGTATAAATGGTTAATGTACGCTAGCAATTCGCTTTGTAGATCCTTCTCCTCTGTCTCCTTCTCGTCGCGGTCGCCTCCTGCATTACGTCATTTTTGTTCAATTTCCCTAGTTCTCAATAAAAAAAGCAGGTTCGATAAAAAATTTATTTTACTCATACGTCAACTTACGAGGATGCTTGTAGGAGATTTGATAAACGGATCGTAGATTATCAAGTATATGCTTGTAAACCAACTGTTGAGCAGCTTCGTCCAATCGACTAGGAATCGATGCCGTGTACGGGTCGATTTCTCCTTCTTCCAAGTGCTCCTCGAAATAATTCTTTTGACGGATACTGAAAAAGATATCGTTCCAATAATTCTTAACCGCAATTCTTAATCGCACGGTTACTCAACAGCCTTGATAATATCTCGTTTTTACAGTTCTGTCGGTTTCAGCTTGTGCTTCGTATAACTGCGACTGTACTCCGTCCCGAAAAATTCACAGGAATTGGACATTATTACGAATTTTTCTATCGTGTATCATTTAAAAAAGGTAAGTACAGATGCGTGTTACACATAATTTTGGTTCGATCGTAATTGTCATTACAAAAACGATTAGAGTATAGAAAGAGAAATCATATGTTTTTTTAAGGGTGGTCTATCAGTGTGGAACTTCGGAAAAAAAATCGAAATTTTTCTTTGCATTTATCGAAAGTTTGTACCTTCAAAAATATCATATTAAAATTACAAGGTCTCTTTTCATTTCAGGCGACCCTAGCGAACTGTATGCAGTCAATAGTCGAGGCACTTTTTTTTTGCCGTTGGGAGATAACTTGGCATAACTTGGTCGCCTTTAGTTTTCTGCGTACGAAAAGATTATTTTTTACACAGTTCATTTATAGGCAAATACGTCCAGTAGAGTTTAAAAACATTCAATGGATTTTTTATAATGACAAAGTAATAAATTTTATTCTGCCTACTTCGTTTTGCAGTTATCGGAGGTGCGAGCACCTTTTCATTGTGAGGATTAAAGTATAAATGGTTAATGTACGCTAGCAATTCGCTTTGTAGATCCTTCTCCTCTGTCTCCTTCTCGTCGCGGTCGCCTCCTGCATTACGTCATTTTTGTTCAATTTCCCTAGTTCTCAATAAAAAAAGCAGGTTCGATAAAAAATTTATTTTACTCATACGTCAACTTACGAGGATGCTTGTAGGAGATTTGATAAACGGATCGTAGATTATCAAGTATATGCTTGTAAACCAACTGTTGAGCAGCTTCGTCCAATCGACTAGGAATCGATGCCGTGTACGGGTCGATTTCTCCTTCTTCCAAGTGCTCCTCGAAATAATTCTTTTGACGGATACTGAAAAAGATATCGTTCCAATAATTCTTAACCGCAATTCTTAATCGCACGGTTACTCAACAGCCTTGATAATATCTCGTTTTTACAGTTCTGTCGGTTTCAGCTTGTGCTTCGTATAACTGCGACTGTACTCCGTCCCGAAAAATTCACAGGAATTGGACATTATTACGAATTTTTCTATCGTGTATCATTTAAAAAAGGTAAGTACAGATGCGTGTTACACATAATTTTGGTTCGATCGTAATTGTCATTACAAAAACGATTAGAGTATAGAAAGAGAAATCATATGTTTTTTTAAGGGTGGTCTATCAGTGTGGAACTTCGGAAAAAAAATCGAAATTTTTCTTTGCATTTATCGAAAGTTTGTACCTTCAAAAATATCATATTAAAATTACAAGGTCTCTTTTCATTTCAGGCGACCCTAGCGAACTGTATGCAGTCAATAGTCGAGGCACTTTTTTTTTGCCGTTGGGAGATAACTTGGCATAACTTGGTCGCCTTTAGTTTTCTGCGTACGAAAAGATTATTTTTTACACAGTTCATTTATAGGCAAATACGTCCAGTAGAGTTTAAAAACATTCAATGGAATACTTTTTAAAAAAAAAAAAAAAAAATTTCCCAAAATCGCTTAAATTTGTATAGTCCCTTAAGGCTAAATCTTCTTGAACGTAATAATAGTCTACATTCTACAATTTTCATAATTGCAAAGCATTTCATGTTTATTGCAGTCAAATATATACATATATACGATTACTAGTTTTTTTAATAATCAATATGCTAAACTAAATAAGAAAAATTCTTAATGACGAATATAATTTATAATTTGCAGTCCCCGAATCTTCTTCTTGACGAAGGAAGTGGTTCCAGATATTGTTGCCGATTCTTCATGTTGCTCAGGCCCATTTTGCTAATAGTGTCCATGTATTCCGAACGACCAGTGAAAGGCGTCTCCCAAAGAGAGAAACTTTCTGGAACTGCGGACACATTTTTAAAATAGTACGTGCTCACTTTTCGCGGAACTTGACTCGATCCTTTTAATGATTTATTTTATACCAGTGGTGTCGTTTCAAACAAATCGCCTGACAAGCCGACGTAAAACAGAATTCGATACGATTTTACGTTCAACGATCGGAAGTTTGGAGATTTGAAATAAACTATAGATTGAACGTCGCATACCTTCGTATAAAGTTAGCTTTTTGGCCGGTTGAATGGTCGGTCTTTCGATGGCAGTGTATCGGAATCTAGTAGGATCTCTATAGCCCTGTTTTATTTCCGTTGCTTCCGGCGGAAACGGTGAACAATACGGCGAATCGACCGCAGCCTGTAACTGTCTGTACTCCTTGATAGGCAGTCCTGAACACGTTCGAGAGAGTCATCTGCACGGCTTCGTATTTCTTTAGATTTTACCTCTACATACCTCTCTTCGCGTAATCCGTTTTAAAAATACTCATCATAGTCTCGTCCATCGACTCGCAGTTGCTATCTAGCATGGCCGTCGAGAGATTGGTCATTTCTTGATTCACCATCGTCAGCTGATCCAAAAAGTGTCGTTCCTTCTCAGCCAGATATTTGTACCTACACATCGTGATTTTGATTTTACCTTTTAAACTTGATGAGAGACTTTGCGTCCACATTTATGTTTCGCGCGTGAGAACGTATTTTCACGAAGTCGGGACTGTGATTTAAAAAAATAAATTGTTTTCACTTCTCACCTATTTCTGTTACTCTCGTGGCCATGTTCGTCGCACGGACAATCCTTAGGATCGATCCTCGGGGTGTACAATCGAATTCCAGTGCTCATCGGCGGTTGCGCCGGTTTCGCAACAAGTGGTACCGGGTAAGGCCAGTTAAAATCACGATGAGTGAGCGTGACGAAATTTTCCAACGTCGCCGACATTTTCTACCAGTAATTTAACACCGGGGACAGAAGAGAACAATCAGAATTTACATCGGTTCCTGTCGGAAAAAAACGTTCGCCTAGTCAAGTTTATTCAAGTTCAACAAGTATTTACGTACGAATTTTACCGAATAGAATATAAAAGACGCGTTGAAAATTTTATTCTCTTTGAAAAAAAGGAGGCTCACTGCGTTCAACATTATCTAAATCTTGCATACGGATAAATAATTCCTTAACATAAATGAAAATATTAAGCTAAGCTGCTTTTTATTTTAACACTCGTACTCGTAAGTCTCTTTCACACATTAAATCTTATTTACTTTCCGACATTCGTCAATTCCGAATGGATTTTTTTCTTACCAAAAGTCTGTTTGGGAGGAAGGCCGACTAAGCGTTACACGACAAAGAGGACTGAGTCGACTCGTCGGTGCTCGTGGCACAACGAAATTTCGTCACCTTCCGGAACAACCAAAGTATCGTTTCTTTGACCAACATGATCGTGGCGATGACAGCTCTGTACAGCGCATAGTGCAATATAGCATTTAGGAACGTGATACCGATACGCGAGATCACCGAATCGGTAGTTGGTCTCTTCTCGTCGTTCATCTTGCTATACGTGAAAAACCTTTTTTGTCGACAAAACCTGTTCCCAAAACGAATTCGTTCTCTTCAATTCAAACTCTGTATATATAATTCACTGGCAATTTATCGAACAATGAATTCCCAATGAATTCCCGACTGACGTTTGACACGAGCGATTCAGGCCAAAGTTCACGTTTGTCACAGTGACTTAAAAAAATCGTTCATCGTAACGTATACTATAGATTTTCATTCGTACGTGGATCGTGTATTGTTATAAATTACATACGACTACAGGGAATTAAATAATAGGTAAACATGAAATTTGAATGTTAAAAAGAGGTCGCCGTGGTGTCGCTAAATTTGCGATGCGGGGTCGGTGATCTCGAGAGGCGCGCGGAAATTTCCTGTTCTGGTTCCTCCTGGTTTTTTTTCTCATTCTCCGTCTCGAAGCCGTGATCGCCGCCGGGAGGAATTTTCGGACACATCCGCGGGTCCGGAGAGAGTCGTTTCTTCGTCTTCATCCGATACCTGTCCTTCGATTGTTCCAACGACGAAAATAAGTGTTCCTGGGGATTCGACGGGGTCAGCTTCAAAACAGTCTCGTTGTGCGACTGATTATTGCAATTCCTCCTTTGAACGCGGCCCCTTGCCGTCGTGAAAATCGGCCTCGTCGTCTCTTGAACACATCCACAATCCAGCCGCGTGATTGTCGTCATTGTGCCGCACGATTCCAGATACTTGTTAAACTAGAACACGGTCCTATTAATATTATATCGTAAACAGTACGCCATTCCAACAACAATTCAAGTACATTTCTCAATCGGTCCCCAGAGGACGGATGAGAGCTGGGGCTCTGCAGTCTCTCGGATCTGAACGACGGCGAAGCGAGTCTCGAGCCGAAATAATACTCGCCGATCAGACGCTTGATCTCCTGCGAATAGTACCTCTCGCTCAAGTCCCGTTTCATCTGTAGCTCCTTCAACTTTTGCAACTTTTGCATCGCTGTCAACGCGTCTGGCACGCTGTACTCCGAGTAAGCGTTAAATCGTTGATACTTGTCACGAACAGGGACAGTATTGTGTTTCGGACAGACCTTTGCGTAAACATCTGGATGATTACGTAACTGCACAGAAAGTATAATTAACAATGAACGAGTCCTGGCTCCCGCGTCCCGCTATCGTTCAACAAAATCTAAATTCGTATCCTATTCCTAGTAGCGCTTTTTGATTGAGATCCTTTAAAACCAATTGGCAAACTGCAATTCGCAAAAATTTCATTTCTGGCAACTTGTATCTCGCTACCTATGCCAGCTGTCCAGTTTATACGAGAACAAGTACCACGCTGAAATAAGCTCAGTTTAATCATACGTTATTCTTATTAATGTCCGTTTCGATCTCGGCGAGAGTCTCCTGAGACGTTCTCTCTCCCGGATATTTTATGTCGTGCTCGCTAACGCATTCCTGATGATAAGCGCTCGAATTCGAGTATCGCGATGGTTTAGAGTACACGTCTCTGGACCAGCTGTTCCCCACGGCGGTGGCCGTCGGTGACGATGCCTTTCGACGATTGTCCATCGTTTTCGGCCACCTTCAATTCAAAGAACCGGTGAAACCTCGCCTCTGGATCGATTCAGGAAATCGGGTTAAAAGGTTATTAAAAGGCTTTACTCGTCGGCTAGTTTGCCGTGAGCACGACTCGCAGACAGCGTGGTCATATTAATTCATTCCACTTTGCTCATAGATGCATAGCTTTTTATGCATTATTACGCGGAATTTCACGCACTTTCCCTGGCTCTACGTAATTTGTCTGTCTTCCATGCTGCGAGTCAAGCAAACAGTTTGTTGGGCAACTTCACTACCTCCAAAGGCGTACCACTTTTTTGTTTTTTTTGTTTTTTTTTTTCTAATTGTAAATGGCTATACTAATGGAAAAGAACTTTAAAAAGTCCACTGACTGGTGAATCAAAAGTGCGACAACGAAGAAAGATTTTACAATTCAACTTTTATTGAGATCACTAAAATGTTGAATACAATATTTCTCGTGATTGTAGTTGTTCGCTTCGCTTCGCTTAGCCGTACCGTTTCCATTAATTTAGATAATTCAGAATTTTTACAATACCTTACAGAATTTGGATCCGAAACGTTTTTAAAAGCGATTTCAATAAGAGACCTTCGTAAAAAGGTATGACTAGATAGGATACTTGAGTCAGCTATCGTTTACACTGTTATAAAATATGTTAGTATCTTTTACAAGACGGCCATTGCCCAGGCCGGTGCCGCTGTTTTCTTATGATGAATCTTCTGCTTCATGATTGCAGAGCCTAATCTACTGACGTTGTCTTGGTACTCCGATCTCCAAGGAGGTAACCGCGTTTCCTGCGATTCGTCCTCCGTTACTTTCTTTGCCGTTTTCGTCTTCTCTTTATCAAGTCTTCGCTTGTCCAACTTGGACTTGGTCGAAGGTCGGCAATCTATGGTCGCTTTTTGTTCTCTATAGGCAGCGCAAGGTCCTGTGGCTATTTCTTCCATTTGTTCAGCCGCTACCAACCGAATATACATGTTACACTTTTCCGATCACTTTTTTTTCACGCAAATTGTACACTTGCCTTTTACAGAATAGTCCAGCTGGTACGTCGTCTTCATTCGATCCTCGTCGACGCGTTTGATCACTTCGTCTATAGGGGTGCTCTGTAGAATTCCATACAGATTAGGATATTTCTCTTCCAACTGAAACCAGTGTAAGTCGAAAGTAGTAATCACTACTTGTTTCACGTTGCTGCCGACTTACTTTCCTCATGTACGTGCTCGGTTGATCGTGTTTTGTTGCTTCGGACTCTGGATGAGGACCAGTCTTGGCTGGATATAATTTCGGGTCCAAAAGTCGTCCCATGGGACCCGTACGACTCCAATCGTAATCATCTCCGCAGCGTGTGAGGGGCGTCAGTTCCCGTGGAGGCTCACGGCAACGACAAGCACTTTCTTCGCCCAACACGCCTGCCATACGTTTAATTCTCGTCGTTGGCCATGTAAAATCTCTTTTATAAGTCGTCATAAACTGGTCCATGTTTCGTTTTTTCTCAAACACTCTCTGCTATTCCACTTTTTATTTATTTCATTTTGCTCGCAACTTTTGATTCATCTTACGTTTTTCACGAACAAATTTCTCGTGCACTTTGGACATTACGATTTATCTTAAAGTTCAAATGAACATTGAAGGTACACTACGCTGTGATTTACATTGTGCACAAGCAGAAGTGAATTGTAATTTTATTATTTATTTAATATACTGTCATTTTGTCTGTTGTTGACTATAAAAGTTGACGCGGGACCCGTCGTCTGCAACGTTGACGACGTTCAGGCATTTTCATGTCCGTTGACGTTGACGTTGACGTGTCGTAACGCTGAAAGTTCAGTAGTAAGTAATTCCGTCAATTAAAATGGTTGAAACGAACGGGTGAGACTCGTTCGCGCAACTTCCGTCTTGAGATCAGTATAGCAGTATAGTGACGCGTATGAATTAGTTAAGTTGCGACGTCAGCCGTACAAATAAACTTTCGCCAATAAATAATATGGTAGACCGATAAGCTGTTGACACGTTTTACGCGCAATAGTAAACAATGATTACCACGAATTAACAAAAGATGGCACCTACGATCGAAGATTATCGTCTTTGGCTCAATGCCACTGTCAATAGAAATCATCTCCTATTTTCCAAATCAACGCTCCAGCTTGACATTGCGAATCGGAATCATAAAAATCGGGTGAAAATTAATAAACGATTTTATGATTTCCCTTGTTTTATTAAAAATTTCCCAGTACATTTTGACCGTCTGAACGTGGAATTTATGTTATTCGCATGGTGCTTCAATTATTTTGCACATTAGAGCCGACTCGTCTCCGTTGGCTGGTTCGCCGCACGGCGTCAATCTCATTCTCATCCCTTACTTTTTCTTGGCGGCTACTGGCACGGCTCCAAGCCCAACAGACAGTTCGGTCAATGCGGAGATTATAGACATAGGCAAGCGCGATTGCAATCGACAACGATGTCGCGCTCGCTTTATTTCGAGATATATCAATCCCAAGGTTCGGTCACTCGGCTTCCGGAGTTCTCCTCTTCGTTTCCAACGGACCAACGGATTCCATTCGAACATCGTGTCCGTTCCGTCGAGACAGTGACATACAACTCGGCTCGTCAGACTATCTCCCCTTTGATCGTAGCTTTCGTATAAATTATCCTCCAACTCGAATTCTGGGAACCAACGTGATACTATTCGCTCGTAAAATTCTCTTCAAATTCACATAATATATCGTCCGAAGCAGCAGCAGCAGCAGCAGCCGCCCCTTGTGCTTCAATTCAATTCAATTCAAGTTTGGTTGGAGCTTAGTCGGGATGGAGCGGTGATGGCGCGTTCAAACGTATTCTAGGGTACAATCTTGTGAAACAATGACGTTAGGCACGAGCGTCGATCGCTACGATGATGGAACGATGGGTCGGTTCACCCTCGTCGCGTTCAGCTCGTCTGCTGGCGAACCGTTTCGTCCCGTAGGAATAAAAAGCTCGGAAACGGACTGTACTACTGACGGTTGCTCTAAAGATATCGCTGCGTCCACACGGCCCGGAATAGAACTGTGACGTCGTTGTCCGTCGACGAGCGAACACCAACTCTTTGATTCGTCGTACACCGGCTAGCCAATGGGATACGCTTCGAGGTCACCGTTTGAACACGGTCCTACGAATGTCACCCCGCGATTTACTCTTCCTCGTTTGCTTCGGTGAATCAGATTTTTACGAAACCGTCCGACACGTAGTTCGATACTGCAGTCCCTGATTCTCGTGATTCTAGGATTACGCTATGAATAAAATCAGGTTAAACTCCAGGTTCAAGAAACTTCAAAAACGTGCAGAGTTTTTCCAAGACGAAGAACGATCCAGCAGCTAGAGACGGTGACAATAATTTATCGCCAAACTGTATTTCTTCGTTTCTGGTTTTGCTCACCCACGGTCGAGCGAGTGAAACAGTTGGAAAAGACAAATTCGAGAAGACACCGGGGGAAAAAGATAATAGGGGGTTGACATCGGCGCATACATAGCCGATAAAAATCGTTGACACGGGCCGTACCGTAAATTTCTTTGGAGAAAGAATTATTACTGCCTGGCAGGGCTAACGTCCAGACATTCTTACCAAAAACGCGCACGGTGAACACAAAGTTGCGGAGAAACGTGCCGTTACTGACGTTAAGTTACTCGCTCCGGTTCTTCGTTTCTCAAAGTCTTGACTCGGGGAGGGTAAAAAAGAGTGAGGGTGAACCCCGAGAGTACGCGCGATTCCAACGAGAGAACGCGCTGACAAAGGAACGCAGCACGTTGCAAATTAATCCCTGCATTACTCTCTACTTACTCAGAGGTTTTTAACCTTGAATCGTCCAGATTCGCGTTCACTCCTCCGACGCACATTTCATGCACAAGATGTTTAATACAAAAAAAAGCCAATGAACCAATTTTTTATTTGAATTAATTCATAAGGGTTAACAGAGGATCACGGGAATTGAAGTTACTTATACAAGAGGTACAAGTATTTATATCGCGAGAGTAAGGGATGGTTTAGAGTGAGAATCGTGCTTGGACCGTGTTCCAAGTAAGAGAGCATCGTTAATCAGGTGTGACGCATCTTCCAGAGATCCGTGCGATCAGAAAACTAAAATCGTGTAGGTACGAGACAGATAACGAGCTGGCCGACTGTCGCCTACTCGTCTCCCAAGCAGGAAGCAGGCAAACTGCATTATTAGAATAGCCGTGAGATCCATTAGCGATCCAGATTACCACTAAATCCCAAGCCTCGTTTAGATTTTACATTACGAAATCCGCGCGTTCACGAAATCTTTCTATTTCATTTCCACACGTTCGGTGGTAATAACACGGTTCCATCGCCTGGTTGATGGTGGATCGAACATTCCTCCAGCCGCAAAAAGATGAACTGCACGGTTGCAGCGTTAAATTAAAAATGATTCGCGCTTTACGGCGGGACAAGGAGCCGACCGAAGAATCAGCGTGTTTCATTAAATTTATGCTGGCGTTCACATTCTCGTCCGGCGACGTTAGTAGCACCCAATTAAACGTTTGATATAGAGTGGCCCCCCGTGTTTTGACTTTCGACCGGCGTATGTTCGTACGCCAGTCCCGCTGCCGGCGAAAATAATCCCCGTTCGAAGGGGATTCGCGTCGGAGCGACAAGGGAATTGGCAACGAAATTTCGCGGAACGTCGACGCTGTTTCTCCCTTCGTACGAGCAGCGAAAATTACGGCAGGAGGTAAGTTCAGATGCTGAGACCGAGCTTTATCTTCTTTCTTTCTCATCTTAACGACGTCGTTACGTGTCTCGCCGGATAGTTTTATCACTTTCGCCAGTGAATTGGAAGCTCGCAAGATTGAAATCTCATTCTGAATTCATTTTCGTATTTAATAGTTTTGGTTTGGTAGCTGCAATTAAGTTCGATGATACGGCGTAGCTGTTGTTGATGTTGATTAAACTAAAAATTGTACGTCAGATGCAGAGGTGAACCTTCTGTGTTTTCCAATTTTCCTGCGCTTTCACTTTGTTAAATCGTCAAGACGAATAGTCGCTATTATTATTATTTAGGACAAGAATTACGCTTGTTTGTCCCAGTAAACTAACAGTTATACAAAAGTGTTTGCGAATTTGTCGAGGGATTTAAAGGCGACAACCGCTTAATGCAGTTGATTTACGTGGAACACGGGGTCTGGATACCGTTCCGATTCGATGCGCAACAGTTTGGCATGAAGTGAATTAGGATCGACGGGTGTGTCCTCGCTGGACGTAAAGCGACTGTTTCATATCATTACCGATGATCTGATAAATGATTAATTGTCTAAATAATTTGTCGACTCTGTTTCTTGCGCGTTTTTACGACCCTCGTCAGCTCCGTTTACCTCTCTTCAATGTTACTCAAATGTTCAAATTCAATGTGTGACACGTTCAATCAGACGAAACGATAAATAAGAAAGCAAATTCTAGCTCGAATTAAATTCGCTTTATACTAGTTCTGCTGTGTGAGTAGAAAGCGCCATTGAATAATCCCGGCACGTACTGTCCTTACCACCCGTGTCCGACCCCAACGAACTGAAATGATTCTTAGAATATTATGGACAAGTGTTGATGAACGATCTACTGAATGATCACATTGTACTGTAAAATAGGTTGATTGCATATAAGTAGAGTAGCGGTGACATACAATAGTGCTTCGATACGTTTCAACCTACTTTTGTACACGTTTCGTACTCAACAGTACGCAATGCAATAATGTTCACTGTATACGAAAGTCAGTTTATAAAATATTCCTACTGACATTTAATCCCCTCATATTTTTAGCAACTTCTTATTTTTTCTAAAGATTCTCCAAAACTATTCCTTTGGTGACACGTCTTCCCTCAGGATCGTCGTTCACCTCCAGTTCGTCGCGTTTCTCGCGACTAGCCAACTGATTCAGATCTTTTGTTCGAGGAAGCTTTTCTATACATATACGCAGAGACATCGTGTAAGCCGGTTCAAAATCCCGGGAACACGGTGTCGATGTCACATTATTGGATTTCGAGGAACTTCCGGGCATGGCCGGGGCGTTTATTAGCTCCCTTTGAAAAAGCGTCGGCCAACCTCCGGTGAACGAACAGAACGTTCGACGAATAATAAACTCTCGAGGAACGAGAAGGTTATTGTCCGAGCGTCGCGGCGTGTCGCGTGAACGACGATCAAAGTCGCGTGGAACGAGATGCCTGGTTAGGGGAACCAGAGGATCAATCTTCGTACGCGACTCGTTTCCACGTTACGAATATCGTTTAAATGAGACGTTTCGTTAGCGTTCGTAATTTTAGATTCAGATTCCATGAATTTGAAATACCCTCGAGAGATGACTGGAATCAGCTCAGCTAGAATAAAAATATTCTAATCTCCTTTGATACATTACCAACTTGCTTTACGTGAACCACTCTTCTAATAATACGACTGAATCTAACGACACGCGACACTATCGACATCGACAACACTACAACTCGCAATTTTCTCAAGTAACCATACGTGTGTAAGTCGTACGATTTTTCAATTTAATTAGGCGTGTGTCGGTCGACAAATCTCCAAGGATCACGGTGCACGGATCTGGCAAAATACTCGTTAACAATCTGCCAATTAGACACGCGACCGC